AACAGGTGGAAACAATCAGGGGCGGGGCAGAAGTTGATGATGGCGGGAAAAACATACAAGGGGAGGAAGGAAACAGGGCCTGAAATGAAAGACAAGAGGTAAATACAAAATAAAACAGGAAATGACAGACAAAATACATAAACATAACTAACACATTTGACGAGACACAACAGTAGGGGATTTGCAAACAAGGTCCAGACAAAGATCCCCATGGCTCTTGCTCATTCACAAACATGGTGTAATCATATGCATGTTATTGTTCTGTAATACATTTTTCATTGGTTTTATTTCCAGGAAAATCCATTTCCAAAGAAAAAATGGGAAACGTGTGCTGTTGTTGGGAACTCAGGGATTCTGACAAACAGCAGCTGTGGAGAGATGATCGATTCGGCTGAGTTAGTTATCAGGTGAGAAAGCTGTCAAGATCAGACGACTTAAATCCACAGAATAATTCTAAATAATAATTTCTGACTCGTCTGTTATGCCTTTTCAGGTGCAACCTACCTTCTTTGGGAAAAGGCTATGAGAAACATGTGGGCACCAAGACTGACCTTGTGACAGCCAACCCAAGCATTATGCTGAAGGAGTGAGTAAATAAATGAGTCTCACTGCACCAATAGAGTGTTCCCTTGGTGTTGTTGCTTGACATATTTTTATTTTCAGGTATGGAGGTCTAATGGGACCACGCCGTCCATTTGTGGAGAGTCTACATAGCTACGGCAAATCCATGATGGTTCTTTCCCCCTTCTCCTATGCACACACCACTCCGGTGTGCCTGAGGGCAGTCTACAGCATTAGGGACTTTGAAAGTCCCATTCAGCCCATGTTCTTCAACCCTGATTACTTCCGGAGTCTGGCCCTGTTCTGGCGCTCCAGAGGTCTACGCAGAGGCCTACTCCGCACCGGCTTAGTGATGGTTAACATAGCGCTGGAACAATGTGCCAACGTGCATCTGTACGGTTTCTGGCCCTTCAGTAATCACCCATTTGAACTCAATGCGGTGAATAACCACTACTACGATGATAAAAAAGCTGCATGGACTGTCCACTTTATGCCTGCTGAGTTTGACCTCTTGCTGCGGCTGCACAGTCAAGGTGTGATCAGGCTTCACCTGGGGAACTGTCGACCGGGTAAAAATGAGTTCCCAGGTCCAGAGATAGAGGAGACTGGGCATCTGAAGAATCGGGACATTTCCTGGTGGGCTGAGGGTTCATCTCAGAATTTGTCTCTAAACTATGCCTTTTCAATCCAATCCACTCACTCTCCCCCCATATCAGTTCCTAGACCCTCTGAAAAGAGGGCTAAACCGGAAGGTGCAATAGAATATATTTTCACTTGCACCAATTCATACATTTGATAAATAATTAGGATCTCAACTTTGATAAAAAAATCCTTAGTATTGTCATTTTGGCCATAATAATAGTCAAAATCATCTTTTACTTTTTCCAGCAAAATTGCAAGGAAATGGTTATTCAAAATATGACTTTCAGTCATGGAAAGTTTTTGATATTTGAAAAGATGTGTGTTTATTGACACATTATGAGATGTAAAGGAATTCCAGTTAGATACAAATACATAAATATGTAATATTCACTCTGAAATGTTGTGATGGAATTGTATAAAGTTGCATGAAATGGAAATACTCAAGTTCATCAAAATTGTACTTAAGTAGAGAAATTGAGTAAATGTAGTAAGGTAACTTAAATATTGTGGAAACTCAAATGATTAAGATGTATTTATGTTTTAAAAATAGAAATACAAGAGCAACATATAGGCAAATAAATGATTAATCATTATGCATATAATAATCTCATAGCCTATTCATATACTGTATGATTGTCAATGGCAAAGTAAGGGGGAACTTACTCATCAATAGAACAGGAACTTCCAACTGCTGCCAAGAGGTCACATATAGGGTTCAATCAGTTTTGTTTGATTTTGTTTTTGTTGATTATCTTTTTCTATAATTGATCTAAATCTTCAAAGTAACTAAAAAAGTATAAAGGACAATTTGTTCCTCTGGGTTAACTTAACAAGCCTCTTTATTGCTACTGTCACCTTACGATTCATTGTATTGCATTGTGTTAAAAAAAATGATGAAGGAGGGAGGGACATATAGCAAATGGGTGGATCAAAGAGAAATGAAGAAGACTAAAGTAGGATTTCAACAAACAAGGATATTAGTTTTTATACCCATCTGACTCTGACGCAAACAGAAGGGGAAAGACACGGATAAAGTGCAGTGAAGAGAGGACTTGCATGAAGAGATCGGGATGAAGCGACACCCTGATAAGTTATCTATCTCTTTGATGATCACTGTCCTCTGTTTGAGGAGCCTGCTGACAACTGCTCTCTGGATCACTGTGGACAACAGGTAAGCGTGTCATACTTGTTCCAACAACCTGTTGAACAGGTTTTTTGTTTACCCAGGTATATGTTCCTCACAAGGCATTTGTTTTAGTTGTTAAGTGTACCGATTTTGTGGAACCTCAAAAATGTAAGTTAAGGTAAGTAAAATATATTGATTCTGTCTAAGACGTTCACACAAAGTAATACGATTATTCATTCTGAAGACAACACACCATGTGGTACTTTGTTATAACTACATTTCTCCTTTTGGACTGAGTTCATGTTTATTATTAGATCAAAGTAAAGTTTTTAATTATACATTAATATAATTTATTTAGTTAAAAGCAAAAACGTTTTATAATGAACATCAGTTTGTTTTACCGTAAATAAATTACATTTACTACTATATCAAAGAAGAATTTGGACTTTTAAACTTAAAACACTTATTTACACTCTGTTCACATATTAATAAAGACAGGAATATTCCCTTCAAAAGACCTTAACATTTATAGAGATGTCTTTTAAAATATGCATCACCTATTCTGTTTTTATAATAAAACCACCTCCCAAAAAACTCCCCAACATTTAAAAAAATTAAATGAATGCAGATCTTTTTCTTTTTCTGACTACGCATCCTCTGGAACTTTACATTAAACAAAGAACCCTTGCATTACACTGTATTTGAATCAGAGTCCTGCCAACCCTGTCTCCTAAAAATTACGTTCCCACAGAACTAAACTGTATTCTCAATTACGTTTAGCCAGAAACGTATTTTCTCCCACGTTACGTTCGTTATGAACGTATCTCAAATACGTTCATTTTCTACATATCTTTGCCATTTATTGTCTTGCTTAAAATAATGATAATAGTCATTATTAAATATCATTTTCTAGCACACATTTGAAATCAGTAGGCGAGGCTGTAATGTCGCCAGCTGTTACTCCCAAGAACGAGGCAGAACATAATATTTTTCAACATGCCAAAAAGCTGCTGTGTTGTTTATTGCACCTCAAACATTAAAACAAATCCAAAGTATCGTGTTTCTGTACTTCCTCTATGATCATATTGTGCTAGCTTTTAGATGCTTTACCCCTCCCTTAATGATGCAAGATACAAAAGGTAAACGAGATTGCAAAGCAATAGCCTATTATAATATTCATATTTCATGGCTTAAATTCTGCATCAACTCGCTCACATTGTAAATTAATTTGGGTTAAAGCCTTTAACAATATTAATGTGAATAAAAACAGCAGTGATAATGATTTTGTTGCCTTGCCATGTCACATAGGGCTAGAGTGCTGGTAACGAGTGGGGTTTTGGTTTGAATCCAGCATGAGAAGTTTTGTTATTTTTATGTCGATAGGTACTGAATAATATTTTTGTTAGAAGATGCATTAGAATCTCGGCTGAAACCAAAATGAATAATCAAGCATTGGAACATTCTTAAGTCGGAATGTCCCCGTAACCCCGCTAATAGCATTTCTGTCGCTATCATTGGAAAACAAGAGTTAACAGTCCCATCTAATCTGGATAAGTGCTGCAAAGTGTAACGTTTTGATGAAAGGTGTAAAGCTATGTACAGTAGGCTAAACAACGTGTGCGTCACTAATATACTGTCTGAATGTGTGGACAGGCATCAACCATACTAGGCATCACATTAAGAATGATGAACAAACTGTAGTTTTAGTTGAAGGAAAAAGCAGTAATATACCAAAAAGTACCTCAAAATTAGACTTAAGTTTAATACTTGTTTAATGTACTTCGAGATAAAAACAAAACATTGAANATTGGAAAACAAGAGTTAACAGTCCCATCTAATCTGGATAAGTGCTGCAAAGTGTAACGTTTTGATGAAAGGTGTAAAGCTATGTACAGTAGGCCTTGTTTTTAAAATAAAACATGACTGCTGGGCTACAAAAGTTGTATCTCAATTTAATCGGAGTAGATCACAGCTTCCCGCAGCTGAAAGACATGAGTAGGCTAAACAACGTGTGCGTCACTAATATACTGTCTGAATGTGTGGACAGGCATCAACCATACTAGGCATCACATTAAGAATGATGAACAAACTGTAGTTTTAGTTGAAGGAAAAAGCAGTAATATACCAAAAAAGTACCTCAAAATTAGACTTAAGTTTAATACTTGTTTAATGTACTTCGAGATAAAAACAAAACATTGAAAGAAGATAAAAAAATGTGACGCTGGCTTCAGCCGCTGTGATGGCTCACAGCTGGAGGAGGCCCATGTGGCTGCTATTATTCCGAGTGAGGGGTGCAAGAATCAGAAAGCCACTTCAAAAGCCTGCCTGACTATGGGGAAACAGACCAGAGTCATAGGGGGACAAGCAGCTTATGAGACCCTTCCCACACCAAGAGCTGAAGCTGCCAACTCAGCCTCCACCTCAACATGTCCCCTGTGGGCCCCTTCTCTCTCCAAGGCCTCCAGCCTGGGCCCGCTCTGAGACATATAATACTCCAGCCAAAAGCTTACAGAGGACACTCTCCGAAAGTCCTAGTCTTGACCTTCACTCATCCCTCATTTGAGACGGATAATTACCATATGTGGGACTCAAATCCTCCCTCCATGTTACTGTTATGGTGCAGCCAGAGAAGTCTCTGTGTGAGCACACGGCTGTTTGGAAATCCACCGTGTCAGAGTGAGAGCCCGGAGGGGCTTAGCGGCAGTATTCTGGTCTTAAGGTGAGGGCAGATGGTCTCTAAGAAAAGGAAGGGTGATGAGGCAGGCAGTGGGGGTCCTGGAGCTGGCTTTTGGGGGGGTCCAGGATCGTGAGGGCTGTCACAGCTGGACTTTTTCTACATTTTATCTGACCTCAAGTCTTGATCTTTCTATCCTTCCACAGCACACATATTTTTTATTATATAATAAATCAGTGTGTGGCCTGACACCTTTCTGTGGAAGGAAGGGTCCGATGTTAGTGAACCCCTCCTGTGAGGAGCTTGGTCCATATCTTATCCCATATTGCATGCAGATACACACTCACGCTACGCATCAATTTGCCTGTCTGGCGATCAAAATGGGCTTTCTATTATTGATGTCCTGCTGGTCTGCTGAGACTGCGAGGTGCAGAGAGGAGGGTGTGTGTGTCATTTGTGAGCAGGTGGGTAAGCAGATTTCAAAATGCTGATTTAGAAATGCAGAAAGAGCTATAATCTATCCACGTCTAGCCAAAAGAAGAGGCTTTTTTTCTGACGTACTGCACTTGACATCTTTCTTTTCCTCGTACTGCGTCTCTGGGTCAGCCTTAGTCACTGACACACAGCCTCAGGCAGTGCGTGCGTCCCTGTGATTGACTGAGCCGGCCCCCGATCTGAATGAGGCGACGGGCCCCGATCTCTCTCTCTTGAGGGCCAGCAGGAGAGGGGCTGGGAGCATCCAGAGACTTCCCCTCGGCCATTACATAATCACACACACAGCCCAGCGCCTTGTAGGCCAAACCCATAAACAACCATCAACCCTTTACTCGCTTGACCGCGCCTCCCCCGACTCCCACCAAGAGAGGGAGGGATGGAGGGAGAGTCGGGTGGGCATCCTCCATACAATTCTAGGCCACTTCGCAGAGCATTGTGCTGAAGTGCTACAACTAATCTGGAGCTACAACCCCATCTGAGCTTCTTTCTGCCCTCCCTCATTCTTTCATATCTCCTCTGTTTCAATCCGCTTCCCTCAAGTTATTGAGTCTCTCCATTCAGTAAATGTCCGTCACCCCCCTCTGCACACATACTTTAACTCTGAGGAGTGTAGTAGTGTCGCCAGATCTTTTCAACATCCTTTACTTTAATCCTCTCCAGAGTGTGGCAACTACTTGATACAGTTGCATTTAATGAAGGATGGTTTTCCTACTGCCAAGAGCCAAAAAAGACACAATGTGCAAGAACTCTGTCTCTCTTTCTAGGTTGATTTAATATAATGAGTAACTCTATTTGCGTTCGAGGCCTCAAATGTTATAAGAAGATTGTCGATGTCTGGGCCTGATAGTGTGAAATGTGTCCGGTTCACACTCAGGAGCCATGGAAAATGTGGACTTTGAGCTTATAGGTTTGTATGTTAGTATATGCTCAAGTTTGTATGAACACATACATGACTGCACGCCTGTGATTTAAGATGTCGATGTTGGTGATGAGGGAGGGATATTTGTGTACTTGTGAATGAGATGTATGTGTGAGAGTGTTTCTGCTGTTCTGGTTGTGTTTGGCTGCCTGTTGACACAGAGGCTCCTCTGGCACTCCTTTGAAGGGGGTTGCGGGA